CTACAAAAGTGTTTACTTCTATCCATAGAAAAGCTATTTTCAAAATATAACTTGCATTTTCCAGCAGGATGGGGCCACATGTCATACAAGCAGAAAAACAAAACAATGGCTCGCAGAAAAAAAAAAAAAAAAAGTTCTTCTTCCTTGGCCATCCAACAGCTCAGATCTTTCACCAATTGAGAATGTATGGAACATCATGAAAAGACATCTGCGAAAAACATGCTCTCGGACAGTTGAAGGACTAAAAGCTTCCATCTTAGTTCTGGAATTCCATAACGGCAGATGAATGTCAACACCTAATCAACAGCATGCCGAAACGTATGAAAGGTGTTTTGGCCGCAAAAGGTGATTAAACATGCAGCGATCTATGTTTTTTGATGCTTGTGACTCAAGTTTGACTGGCTGAATTTTGTTAAACTTGAATTGGCACAAGAACAGTGTGCTTATTCATCACAACGGCTACATTTAGCCCACTCTCTGTAGATACATAGTGTAACCCTCCACAATAGAGGCATTACGCAGTTAAAAGACAATATATTAACTAGAAGACTTATTTATTAATGGAACATTAACGATAAATATATCGAAGCAAAAGTGCAATGAATATTAATTAATCATAAAACATATCGAAGCTCAGAGAAAAAAATTAATAAATAAGTAAATATAAAAGTTTGAACTTACTCGTACAGTATTTACTTTACCAGACGACGTCACTTCGCGCATGCTCAGTTTCGCTATTTTGTAAGCAGACGATATTTTTTTCCGTGGAAAAAAATTTTTATTTCGATCGTTATCTCACATTTTATTTCTTGTTAAGATAATATTTAAATTTAAAAAATGTTTTCATAAATAAAATAAAGCATCTAGGCTCTAGCCAGCAGCAGAATTCGTGGCCACCATCTTGCCCCAACGTGCACTTTTCACACTGACTGCAAACACGGGTTAACTTTATTTCAAAACTAAACAGTTACAGTCTTAAAGGTTACTTCGAATACCATAATATCTTCATCTTTCTGTGTCGTTTGCATCCCGCAACGGAACTTTGACGTCATACCCCACTTCGACCAGCCACCATCTCGAAAATGGACATGATCATCATCTTCATCTCTACCCGGAGGCCGTTTCGAACCAACTAGATCCATCACCGGACGTCACGAAACATAGGAACAGTGAGCTGACGAGCGAACTCTGTTATTTTGGACAGTGCAGCATTGTTGAACTACTTTCGACGTCAACCACCTGTCGACATTCGTGTAAGCCAGTTTACTATAATAAACGGTTTTGTTGTAAGGACACGTGTCATCTTTGCCTCCCGTATAGCCGCTCACATACTATCAGCCCCCTAGACTTTTCCTGACGCGGGATTAACTGATTGCCCCTAAAAATCGGCAAACTTACAACGTCAACACGACCATAGCTTCCCTTATTAGAAGGGCATTCCTAATACTAATACATTCCTCTACTCAAGCTATTACCAATATTGAGTTTGATTCCATCCGTTCAGCAGTATGTGCGGCAAGCTAGTACAGTATTGCCAAATACAACCACGTCCTAAACAGGGTCAAAAGGTCGCTCTTCCCTACCACCAGTTTGCGGAGCCCAAGAGAACGGACTGTAGTCCAGTCCTCTTTATCATATTGCGGTCACCTGTCAGCCTATATCGCGTATCTTCAGACAAAATTCCTTGTATTTACCTATCTCACCGTGCTCAACTTTACGGAGGCTTTTCTGAAATGATAGGTATGCACTTTCGCACTTGGAAAAGTCTGGATTATATTCGGTTCCGTTAGAAAATACAACTGGGACACACACATCTGTTACACAGGGGCTACCACCAGAATGCTGTCCTCTCGATTAGCCAAACACCAGCATTTCGTAGCGGTGGAAAGGTGTGACACTGAGTTGTCCAACATGATCGTACAACATAACCACACCCACTTTGGGGCCGCACCGTATTACTTAGGAGCCGTGGGAAGGGAGCCTTGTGTTTATTTGGGTTAATTTGTATAAACGTATAAATAACAATAACTGACCGCTTGTCTCCACTTCCCTACGTTTTTCTATATGGTTGGTTGCACATTTCTATGTGCATGCTTGTAGATACAACGTGATTTTAAAAATGTTTTCAAAACATTTTACATTAAAATTTTGTATTCTATTCGATTTAGGTTGTTCCAAATCTGTACTTCAAAAGTGTTGTTCTGAAAAAGCGTTCTATTTGAGTTGTCTGATGACGATATTTATACGAATATCGAAAGCGCTAACAATTAAAATAAGCCCTTTCAACGTCGTTTCCTGTTGATTTATTCTTTTTTCTCTCAAGCAAGAATGTTGGTATGACTTTCATACTACATTTTTACGTTATTTTATGATATACAGATCATTACATTATTCTACAAATCTATAGAACTGTAGAATAACATAAAGTAACTTAAGATTTCATTTCATAAATTATGAAAATTGGTTAATTTATTTAGTTCTATCATTCATCAAAAATTAAAGAGTAGAACGTTTTTTTTTTTAAAACACTAATTAATATGAAACAGTTTTATTCAGATAATGAAAACAGTACATGTTCTTATTGTTCTGCTATAAATTATCAAAATGAGAAATAACAAAACTTAGGCTTTTGTCTTTAAGATTTTGTCAGTTAAGTAGTTGTAATTGGACAAAAGAATCAACTTTGATCCTTTGTAAGATATCTGCTCCAATTCCTGCATGTTTTTTTGCAGATAAAGGGATGGCATACAACTCTTAAAAACTTAAAATCTTCTGTCAGCATTTATAAAACGATTTTGTGTCTATAGAAATGATTCTTGTATTGGCAAGAAGTGGTAATGCTTTGGCTAGTCAGTGTCTATATCGGTGGTGATGGAACAAAATTCATATACATTTTATTAAATGGAGCATTAGCATCAATATATTCAAAAATTTATTGATAAGCAATTTTGTGTTTACTATTCTCAGGAAACAATACATAAATAAACTAATAAACTTTAATGTATTGAATAAAATAGAAGCATGGAATTGTCTATGAATACAGCATTGATAATATATTGTAGTACATTTTGAAGTTTTTATTGCAAATTTTTTCCAATCTTTTATTTTTCATGAAATGCTTGAGGCAGGTTTGCAAAAGACTAGTCTATATGATATAGTCTTCCTTTTAATGATATTAAATTAGGATTATTCAGAATATTTTTGCAACCCTTCACAGACAAGGAAATTAATGTTCATCTGACAACTATTCAATTTTGCAGAGCATTCAAGCAATTGATTCTGAAAATCAGGCCAGAGCTGACTTGATTTTCAGGACAATTAATTAATGCGCAGGTTTTTAAAAGCAGGGAGCAAAATAAATTCTTGTAGTTTATTTTTACAATATACGTATAGAAGGTAACACAATACAGTAGACTAAGGAGGAACTGAATGAATATAAAATAAGTTAGATTTAATGTAGCCTACTGTTAGTGTTAAAGGTATGGGCCATACTGATCACAAATCTTAATTAAATTAATTTTCTAATCACAAATTTTAATTATATTAATTTTATTTTAACAATAAGTTTAATGTACTCCTTTTGATTATCAAATTTATTATTATAAATCTACACTGTGCTAATTTGCAATAATGATTTTTGATGTTGAGCATGTTTTGTCGTCATATATGATTAATGAATACATTTGATATAATTTTAAACTATATTGAGATATTGAGGAGTTTATAAAATATGGGTTTGGGTGGCTACTGAAAGAAATTATATTTATAGATCTTCATATAGGAAAATACAAAAATGAAATTTAAGGTTGTAATATTATTCTTCCAAAACATTTAGTTAACGTTGTGTGTTAAATATAAAATGTTCAGACAATCATTGTTTTTTATATTGTATAATTGGTGACGTGTATAATACTGCACTGAGAAAATAATTAATTTAAAAACACATTTGATAATTAAACAGAATATACTAAACTTTGGCTTACTGTTAAAATAAAATAAAATTAATTAAATGTGTTTTAATTGTTTATAATTTTCAATTTACTCAGATATTAGAACAAACTTTTATTTTAAAAATTATTATTGCAAATTAACACAACTTAATATTATAACAATAAATTTGATAATTAATAGTAGTATATTATACTTGTTAAAATAAAATTAATTTAATTAAGATTTGTGATCAGTATGGCCCATATTACTACTACTACTGTTTTATTTAAAAAAAGGAAAATGAAGTTGACTGTGCTATGAGCACTAAGAGAGTCTTTAATCATGCCCACAATGGTCTAGTGACAAGAAACAGGGCCCAAAACATCCAAGACAGACCACTTCCAAAAATTTTATTTTATATATAAATAACCTCAAATAGACATAAATACCAATAAACCAGCAAAAATAAAAGAAATAAATTCTGGAGGATGGCTGTTTAAAACAGAAGAAAATGTTTTCGTTTTATTTCTTTTATTTTTGCTGCTTGATTGGTATTTACATCTAGTTGAGATTATTTATATTAATTTATATCAGTTGTTTCATACTTTCAATTTCAATTCTTTTTTAAATATTTTGTGCAACACAGACTGCACAAAATACTAATGTGGACAGCATGCAGCCTGGGTCTGTGGGTTGTAAACCCATTATATATTTTTTGTGAGTAATGTAATTTTCTTGCAAAATTTTAAAAATATTCTTAGTTTTAATGTTTTTAAAATCTTTGTTATAATAGCAGATAGAATATGGTATAAAATTTGTTATAACATCTATCAATACTAATCTTTTCATACTGATATCTATTTTTTTTTTTTTTTATAAAGCTAAAATAATACCACCTCAAAGCTAATTAGACTTCAATTTTGAGACAACAACACATCAGAAGTGATGCAAATTCAAAATTTTTATCAATTTTTCCCTTGGAACAATTCTATATATATATATAGCAAACATTATGTGAAAAATAAAATTTACTAAACAAAGATTTTATAAAATATTTTTATTATACAGCTTTTAAATGGATAAAATATATGAAATATAATTTTTCAGAATATATCATTTCGAAAAAGAATGGAATGTTTGAATTATTAACAACAATAATGTATAGATAATAATGTATATTAATTTTACAAATAATATATTTGGCATATTTATTTACAATTTTGATGATATATTTCTGATGTAAATAGTTAAATATAGTTGAAGCAAACAATAAACAAGATTTCATATTCAAGCATTTAAGAAGAAAATTTCAGAAATAATCATCCTATAATACTCTCATTAAAAATGATTAATATAACAATAATGTACAAATTATATTTACACTTATAAAGACAGTAAGTATATAATTAAAAAAAAAAACTATTAAACTTTTTCAAATAAAAATGAAGAAATTTAATAGTTTTGTGTCATTTTCTAACAAAATATGAATGTAGTTAAGTAGATTCACCTATTACACTTATTATTTAAACATCTATTGGCAAACTTGTATGGCCTAAAAATGCTTTTGGTTTTAAGACATATTCTTTACTTTGTTCAAGTCTTTTGCTAGTTTCTCCAGATCCTGAATCACTGCTGCCATAACTAACACTTCGTTTCTTTCCTAACATAGCTGCTACTCCCATTCTTGGCAAGTGTGAATTACGACAATTATCAATAGATTCTTCTGTTAGTGTTTGTGTAACCAATGGTAAACTAATTGTAAGCTCAGGCCTGATTTGTGTTTCAACATAATAATAATGGCTTCCCGAGGAAGTACTACTATTTAGACTACTATTACTACTGTATAAAATACTTTCGTCGGACATATTCTGACATGGTTTGTTATAAAAAACTTCGTAACTTTTAGAATCAGATTCTTGAGAAGTAAGTGATGTGTTTAAACACAATTCATCATCACATAGACTGATATCATCATTATTATCAGTCTGTACAGCTGCAGATATTCTAGATCTGGCAACTGGAGAAAAAAATGGTGTTACCAAGTTAACATTTGGTTTATCTTCAATTTTGTTTAATTTTATAGATTTCAATTTATGTGAAAGTCGTTCTAGAGTTTCTTTTTTCAACATTACGTCTTTTGGTGGTTGAAGGTAATCTTTTTTAGAAACAACTTCCTTAATACCGGAAACAATTTCTTCTTTAATAGTTGTATTTTGTTGAAAATTATTTTGACTTGATTCAAATCCTCTTCCTGAATTTCCATAAGATGTATACATGTTTTGTATTTCTTCACTTGTAGCTGTTCTTAAAAACTTATTCATCTGTTTATTATCAACATAATCTTTTTTGCCGTCTTGAGTTACTTTTCTTTCATTTATTAAAATTTGAGATTTCGTCTGACTATTTTCTAAGTGAGAAGAATAAGATGAATAGTTAAACATTTGATTAAAACAATGATTATTATGAGAGTTTACAACTCCTTTATGAAAGGTTGCTATCTGATCACCTCGAAGAGGTTTTGGTTTGGTAATAGTAGCATATGAGGAAACAGGTTGATATATTTGAGAAACTGAAGGAAAATGTGAAGGTTCCTGTTTTGACATTACATTAAATGATTCTGCAATTTTTGCTACATATCCAGGTGATTTTAAATCTTTATTTCTGCATGAATTTACCAATTGGTTCTTCTGAACTGTTTCATACAGTTTAGAATTATCTGGATATCTTGAAAGATTGAATTTTCTATCTAGAGAATTAGCATAATTAACTGATTGCAAAGTAGGCTTATTTAAATAAATATCCTTAATAGGTTCATTTTGAACATGAGGGACAGAACCTGCAATCTTTGTTACTTCTTTCTTTAGGAATTTTGTTTCACAAGAAGAAATATTTGACATTTGTTTTATATGGTTAATGTTACTATTATGAGATTTGTTTACTGTTTCAGAAACATCAATGCAGCTTACCGATCTTCCTGATATTGGTTTAAAAGCTGATGTTCTTTCTGGATTTGCAATCTTTTCCCAATCTTTTGGAAGAATTGCTTGATCTGTAGTAAATCTTCTTGGAGTTCTTAATTGTATGTTTTTTGCTCTTTTATAATTGGTATGTTCTAATGGCTTTATTTTTTGATACTTCAATGTTATTTCTACTTTAGAATTTTCAGATTTGTTTGTAACTTCATTTCTTTGTTGTAAGGAATTATGCTCATTTACCTCATCCAATGATGAATCTGACTGACCCGAAATATCAGTTGTACTGTTGCTATGTTGGCTTTTAATATTTTGATCATTTGACATCTCTTCTGGAATTAAATCTGAAAAGAGAATGTATTTACTTAAAACAATTTGTCAAGGATTTTAAATTAAAAATAGAAGGATAAAATTAAAAAGTCTCCATTACTTCATTATAAAAAGTAGAAATATCAATTTAAAACATTTTATAAAATTTTACACTTACTAGTAGAATTCTGCTGTAACTTTTTATCATTTATGATCTGTAAAATAATATAATATTTAATATAACACTTATTCTATTTAATAAATATTTGTCTATTTTAAACATACAGTAGAATCTGTTTATTGTAATCAGATATTTTTATCAAAATCAACATGTTTCAAATAATCTGAATTAATATAAAGGCTGACCAGGTTTTGAGTTCAGTTATTAGTTATTATAATCAATAGGAATGCTATTTTGCATATAATGCATAATGACTTTGTGGCTCTTGGTGTGCTATATTAGTTGTTGATTTATGCTGAGATTATTCAGAAATCAAGAAAAATTAACAATATTAAAATGCATAAATTTTTCTTAAACCTATAAACCACATTTTACAAAGAAGTACAGTAAAATGTCGTATGATTTAGATCGGATGCCTGGGGGAAAAACACAAATGAAAAACATACAACTGGAAAGTTTCATGCTTTATAAAGCTAGACATTAAATCCATATTTCAGGGCAAGTGCATATTACAAGGACAAAGACAAAATGGCTGATGATTACACTCACAAAACAACAAAACTGTTATAAAAGCAACAAAAAAGCAAGGTAAAAAATACAATAAAATATAAACATTACTATAATTATGTAAAATAATCAGTAAATTTAGTTTGACAGCCTTTGTGTATTTCACATATTAAAAATTCTGAATTGCTTAAATATTTCAATTTTACTGAAGAGATATTCCACTTGGGAAGCCAGCACAATATAAAGCTGCAGTTTCAGAAAGAGCAGTGGATAAAAATCCTAAAGATTTCTGAAAAAGTAAGAGAATAAATGTTGGAAAAAAAGGAGCATTAAAGGCATTGTCAATGCCATCTTTTGATGCTGACTGATGTTGAAAGAAGTATTTCAATTGTGAAAAGCATACCAAGACCCAATAAAAAATAATATCACAAAAGAAAATTTAGATGGCCATAAGAGACAACTAACAGTATTCATACTGATAAAAAATTGTATTAGAAAGACATCTAAATTATTCTTTTATAGAAACTTATTTTCAATAATAAATATTGACAGAATTATAATGTTTCCTTAATAATATATTTACAAATAATAATTTCTAAGATATGTATAACTAGTAAAAAAAAAATCACAATTTTTTAGTTATTTACATAGAAGTGGTGACCCTAATAATCATTATCTTCAGCTAAAGCTTGTTTGCACTATCAGCCTCAACTTGTGATTGAAAACATACAATTATTATGTCTTTAACTTGTGCAGTAATTAATCTAATTTATTTTAAACTAGATGAATTACTATTAACTAATAATAATAATTCTTCAGAATCAAAAAATTCAAGTTATACATTTTTAATTGTATTTGAAGATCCTTTTAACACTGCAATTTCCACTAATTTTAGTTTAACTATCCTGCTGATGCTAACTGATATACTAATAACTACAGCTATACTGATGATGATGATGATGATGATGATGATGATGTCATCATCATCATCAGTATATCTTAGTCCTAAAATGATTATAATAAATGGATTCTGCTGTATTTGTTTCAGAATGTTTAATAAAATAATTTAAAATATAAAACTATATAGTGATATGGGACCTGCTCGTTCCCCTGAGTGCAATCTGTGTTATATATAAATATGTATGCTACTCTATGGTATGTGCTTTATCGAATTTATATTTATATGTTGTTTTATTTATTGTTCAAAGAATGCTAAAGTTTAAATTTAAAAAGAATGTTAAAAGAAAAGTTTAAAAATTTAAAAGTGGAAAAGGAGAATGTTCTAAATTTGGAATGCAGAAACAGAACAGGATTTGAAGGTTGTAAGGGTTAAGAAAAGGTTTGTTATCTGTTTGGAGAATTAAAGAAATGTTTTAAATCCTTCTTGTTTGAAGGTTTTTTTCTTTTAGAAAAGGACCTGTGTTGATAGAGGATCACCTACAAACTATATAATATGTGAGTTGTACAGTAAATATGGTTACTACAGTAATTTCATTTCAAATGAAAGCAGCAATGTAGCTCAATCAAACCTAATGTCCTGTATGCCTCATGCCACAAACTGGACGAAGTATGAACTTCCTGATCTACTTTTATCTTGTAATTAAAGATTGCATCAGAATCTTTAATACCTGCTGAAGAAAACTGACTTGGGTTGATATTTCTTATAAAACATGATGCTAGAACCAAGAAATTCGTTGCAAGCTTTTAATTGAATTTGGAGATAATACTGTAGTCCCGACATATATATTTGTAGGATGCAACTGTTCTGCCCCATCCCTTGGCCAATAAAATCATGTTGTTCTGTCTTCTAAGATTATAGTGGTATAGTGTAAGTGGATTTCCTGAAGAATGAAAAGACTATCGATGCAGTCTACTACTATTTATAGTTGTAGGCTGCATGTATAGTAGTAGTACACAGGAAAATATCAAGTAAAAGTGACATTTTACTGCAGGATAATGCAAGATCATACACGCTACGAAAATTATGAAAGTTCTTGTCAAGCATTACCTTATTTTTCTCCTCTCATCAAGACTTAACACTAAGTAATTATCCTTTAAAATTATTTTGGTTAAAATGTATAAATAATTTGACTAATAAAGGTAGTAAAAACATAACATCCTTAAAACCAAGGATTTTATGTTTTTACTACCTTTATTAGTCAAATTTTTTATACATTTTAACCAAAATATTTTTATTTCTACAGTTTTACTTATTTTACCTCATAGTTTTAATAATTACTGTCACTATAATTAGTTTCAGTTTTCACTGATTTACATAATAAAATAAGGACTGAAGAGGGGCATAGAGCCTGAAATCATATCCGTTCTAAATTGTAGAAAATAAATCTACTTTTTCCATCAAAAGGAGTGTTCCTGTGTGATTTGTTCTCAATAGAAACTTTATGCTAAGTTCTAAAGGACATACAACTAATTGAGAGAACAGCAAGCAATCAAGTACTACAGTAAGTGATTATCATTTGTTTGATACTACCTTTGAAGAATATCTCAACCAAAAACGGTTTACAGATGATAATGAGGTAATCAGTACAGTTCTTCAATGGTTCCTGGGTCAATCAAAAGAATATGTGGCCATAATACAATAGATAGACTAAGAGAAAAATGTCTTAGAGTGGTAAGGGACAGAAAGAAATTACAAATTACTATTTTTCAAGCTTAATACTTTATGAAGCAATAAAATCAGTCCATTTATTTACTTGGACAATCCTTGTAGTTTGAAAAATGATTATCCATTCAAGTAAGATTTAAAATTATCAATATTAATCATGTATAGATTTAGTAAGTAAATGTATGAGAATAATTTTTTCCAGCAGTAGTATAAAGTAGTAATACTTTATAAAAATAATAGATGACTTAATAAAATGTGTACAACTCACTTATTTTCAATCTCCACAGAAATTTGTAGACCATAAATTTCACTGATGAACATTATTTATTTATTTATTTGTAACCACAGTATGCATTTTGGGCAGACAAGTTGTCCCCTTCAGCCATTGCATCTTCTACCAAGAACTTCCCCATTGACCAGTTGGTTACATGAAATGCAACGAATTTTAGTTTTATGCTGTTTAATCTATATCTATATAAGCATTAACCATCTATCTCTAAGTGATTTCTCAATAGTGTGAAGTACTATAAAGAGCAATTCATAGTGCTCAGAAAATTAACTATATTGTTAAGTTTTTAAAGTTTTACCTTCTTATTTAACATGTAAACTTTTAAAATGGGTTTTCCTCTAGTTTGTAGAAGTTTTTAATAATAAATGATTTTTAAAAATAATTCTATCACAAGTGTGTGTCTTTGTTTTTAAAGAAAATAAATAAAATTTCATTTAATTTATATCATAGTTAATAAAATTGATTTATTTCTTGAACATTTCTAAATTGTAAGAAAAAGTGGAAAACAATAAATGACTATTAGAATAAGAACAGTTGCAATTATTAGAAATAAACTGACCTATCAAAATTAATTAATTTAATTTCTTCCATGAAATTATGTCAATTCTAACCAAAAATAATTTTATTAGCAAATATTTCAATGTAATGTTTGAAGTAACATAGAATTTCTGTGATTTCATAAATAGAAAATTCTTATTTCCTTCTAAGCATTTGAAAGAATTTACTAAAATCAGGACTCATACTCATACTGGTTAAATCAAAACTGAGGCACCAACTAATATTTGAAGGCACAAAAAATAAAATATACAAATGTTTATAGTTATGTAATTACTAAAATACTTTAGTAAGTTTGTCCTAAACTTCAACAAATAAATTGGATCATAAATTAAACAGTATTATCTGCCCTTCAGTTTGATCTGGATGAGATTTGGTGCCACAATTAAGTTGGCACCATATCTTTGTTGAGACAATGCTTGAAATCCTTTTTGCAGTATTTATTCGTGAATCACGTAAAAGTAGTATGCAAAATGCTGTATGATCACCAATCCTCTTAGTCTACCTGGAGATAAGGCGATAAATTGTCAAGCTATTTTCAGACTTCATCAATTAATTTGACTAAAGATAGGTGAACATGCTGCTATCTCATACTAATTTTTAATTTAGCTATTTCTGGAAGAAAAGAATTAGTCTGGAGAGAGACACAAATCCACTTCTGCAGGTTCAAGTTTTCTTCAGGAGTACTAGACCAGAATTTGCCTGAAGTCCATTCTGAGCTAATTCTTTTTACCAGAAATTTCTAAATTAAAAATTAATTTAATTACTTATAATTATTAAAATTAATAGGACATAGGTGGATATGCCACCATCTTTAATCAAATTAACTGGTAACTAATTATTAATAGAGCCTGAAAACAGACTGATAATTTGACAGATTGTTTGGCTTTAATCAATTAAATGGGTTTTGAGTTGATATTATTAGGTAAAGTGACCATTACACTCAACTTACCTAATAATAACAACTAACAATTAAGCCAACCACTGTTAAAATGGTATTTTGGCATCTTTAATATAAGAAAAGTAACATCAAAAATACTTTTGTCAGAATTGTTATTCACTGAACTCAACAGCACACAAAAAAATAGGAATAGATTAATTGGTAAAGCAAAGTAAAAATGTCAATACCTATAACTATTACACACACTGAAATATGTGAAGTAAATACATAAGAGCAATACAGTATAACTCTAATTATATCCAGATTAATTCAGACTGATGGCAGAAGATCCAGATATTTGGTTTTCTCTTTACATTGTGATAACAGCATAATATCTTTAAAGTATATTTTTCTAAACATGGCTACTATTGATTAAAACTTTATTTATATTGTATTAAAAATTAATTTGTTTGCTATACCAATCTATACAAAGTTCAAATTAGTCTGTTGTTGAATACATTTCATCACAAAAAGTTTAATTCATGATAATCTGGATAATTGCAGTTTAAATAATTGGAATTTTATTGTATCATATTATAAACAAATAAATATCAAAACAATAAAATGTTCCACCTAGAGATTAAAAGTTACTACAGTCTGAGTTATGAGCAGATTGCAGATGTTCTTGCCCCTCATATATGCTTCATTAGGATCACATTAACTATCCTATCACATAATATAATTAACAATAAATTTTGAATTAAATTCTAAAAAGATGACTTTGAAGGGAAAAAGTGACCTGGCATAAGGACTGAAAATTTATAACAAGTTATTCCATCCAATTCTTCAATATTGCAAATCATACTAATTTGTTTTAACATAATTATTCTATATTGCATGTCATTTGTTTCAAGTAGATAAGGTGAAATTAAAATTAGTATAGCAATTTTTTTTACTATTAGTAGTATTGAGTTAAATTAATCTTTATTTACGTAAGTTAGGCAATTGTCTATAAAGGCAAATGAAGCTATTCCTCATGAGTAAAACATACCATATAGTTTTATAGAAATTTTATTTGGCTTTATGTAAAAAACTACCATCTTTATTACTGTTTTTTTGTCTTTAAATTCAATGGAAGTTTTTCCCATCAAAAGTTGGTCTATAGATTGCCTTTCAATTACACACAAGAAATATTTTTTTAGAAAACTCTAATACTAAAAAGTTTTAGATAATAATTTTTTTTACATTTAAAAAATGGATTAAAATAATAATGATAATAATAATCAAACCTGTCTTGTAAATGTTCTTGTATTGGCACCTGGAGAAGGAAGAGAGACAACTTGAAATCTGGAAAGAAATTTATAATAAATTTTACTTTTATGCTTTTTGTATGCACATTCAAATTCATTAATCTTAAAAAAAGTATGAAAGTGAGCAAATACTTTTTTGCTCACTGTATTTACTCTCATGAATTTAATATTTCAATACGGCAGCTTTAAAAATGGATTTAAATAATTTAAGATTTAATTACTTTAATAAGTGTTTTATTTTGTTAGAATTATATGTAAACCTTATGAAAAATAAATTTTTTTATGAAATGAATGAAATAATGAAAAAATTATAACAAAAAACACAAAAAATATTGAAATTATTAAGTTGGCAATATTACCATAAATAAACTAGAATACATTTTTATATTTCAGAATAATACATACTTTGCATTATTACTTTTATCATCCAATTCTGGGCAGATTATAAATTTCTGAAAAAATTGTAATAGTAAATAAAAACAATAATCAAAAGTAAATTTAATCATATTTTTTAAAAACATTAAAAATAAGAAAATCTATAAAATAAATACTTATTATAAAGTACTTTAAAATTTTCCAAGTGCTACAGCATTTTAAGAGATGTTTTTATAATTATAATTGATATTGAAGTGATGTTGCCCAATATGAAAATTAAGTATTAATTGTTTTATTTAGGTAGTAAGAAAACATAGAGAAACATACTGACATAGATAATTTTTAGAAAACTACAAATACACAATAAACAGAGTAATAAAACAAAATCAATCTGTTTAAGTAATAAGGTGATGTCAAAAGCAATTTACAAATGCTATCTAATAATATTTATTTAAAAACAAAACATTTTCTGTATTTTCATATATAGTACCTACTTACTCTGACAACAAAGTTATTGTTTAACCTAAATGTGCCTATAATTATATGTTTGTTTGCTAAAGAATGAAAATATGATATCTCATGCAAACATCAATTAGCATAGAAATGTATTCTGCAGAAGAATCATTGCAAGACACTATTATAAAAATTACATATTGTGAAAGCATTCTTCTAAATCAAGACCTAATTGCAACTAAGGGTTCTTCATCAATTTTGGAAGTTACAAATGCAATAAAAAAAACATTAAGCAGTCTGATATTTTCAAATGTAATATGGTATGCATGATTCTCCTCCAAATTAGTTCATTATGGAGAAGTGATTTTACACATTAATCAAGTTAATTTTTCCAGTGACATGTAAATCGTTTTGGAAAAATCTGAATTTATTCAATGTGCACAATGCAGAAATGTTTGTTTCATAAGCTACTATAACAATTGTCATCCACAAAATTGTGCTACTAGAATGCAAACAGATTGAATAATGTTAATAAAAATGTCCTTTGTTATTAACAAAATTGCCTTTGGATAATGATAATCTTTATATCTTATTGTCTTCCCAGATAAATTATAAATAAATGCTAGTACTATGTGCACACGAAAATTCAAAAATAATTTTTAAGTAAATATAATAAATTAAAAAATTTCAAGAATAAAGTGAAAATTATAGTTTTAGGGAAAAAAATTAAACTGATACCAATGAGATTTTAAACACCAACTTCACCATTATGAAACCAACACACCCCCACCTAGCCATCAGCTGCTCTATAAATCTTGGAAATTCTATTAGTTTTAAATAATTTGCAATTTTCAACCCTCAATTTTCTTATTTAATTCTGAGTACAGTAATACCCCGAACTTACACGATAGGTGGGGCTGAGCGAAAACCGTGTAAGTCGGGGTATAATTTCGCAATTTGTGTAAAATCCAAGTTGGAGGTATGTAAGCTAATAAATGTTCTCATTAATCTTATCTCGTCTTTTGATTTGTTCATGGTTATAAGAAATCACCACATAGAGTCTCTCAAGTCTCCGTAGATATAACAAACACAGAAATAAATAACACAAAATAAATTGTAGCTACAGTGATACCTCAGGATACGAACACCCCAGCATACGAAATTTTCAGGATACAACATGAAATTCGAACATATTTTTGCTCCATGATACGAACAAAAACTCACCATACGACATTATATTAGTTCGTGGCGCCATTTTTTATTCACTTCTGTTCGTTGGTCTCAGTCAGCGCGTTTGCTTCATCGTGGAAGGATCTCGCTTGATAAAGGAAATCTTGAGGTATTAACAGAAAGTGACTGATTTTATTGAAAAGAAACATCCCAAAAAGATTCACACTGGCCGTATTGCTGTTCGGAGTAATGACATTTGCCTAAGTCATTTTAGAAAAATTTTAAAAAGTAGGCAAAGCCAAACCTCTTTGGTTAGATATTTTACCAAGCGACCTCTATCCAATGAAAGTGCTGGTGGAAGTGAAGGAAAGAAAGCAAAAAGCAGTGAATAAAAATTAAAAATATATATATAAAACAACACTCATTTTTTAAAATCTTTCTAAGTTATTTTTAAGTTATTGTTACATTATGTTATGTAAGTTAAGTTTTAGTATCATTTCCCTTCTCCCTCTCCTCCGCCACCAGTTTACACCTCCACCGTGGTCGATCCTCAAAGTTAAAGTTCAAATAAAACTACATTTTTTAAATCAATTATTATTCTATTATGGTTATTTATACATTTACAAATACAAAACGTATTTTTCAGTGTTTTCCTTACTATATTTATTATTTTTTTAATGTACAACTTAGCTTTGAGTGTGTTTTTCGTGTTGGAACGAATTATTTGGTTTTACATGTAATCGTATGGGGAAAAATGATTCACCTTACGACATTTTCATGATACGATCTCAGTTTCGGAACGAATTAATTTCGTATCCTGAGGTACCACTGTATGTGTCGATTCCGCGCCACACGTCTGAACATGTAAGCTGAACAATAGCGTAAGAGCAGTGAGTAACCAAGAGTTGCATGGCGCTCAAACAAAAGACAAATCAACGAGATTTGAAAATCGCGTAACTCCGGGTTCGCATACGTCAGGGTAGCATAAGTCGAGGTATTACTGTATTGCACCTTACTGCTTGGCACATGTCAGTCATTGGGATGCACTATATTCTCACCAAGTTTGATCAAACTCAGTGACACCAACATCATGCCATCTCATTGTAACCAAAATAAATAAATAAATTTTGTTTGTTTTTTAGTATTGCTGGATAAAGTTATTACTTTTTTACCTTCCTTGGGTAACTTTATATTTTTAGTTACTCAAATTACATATTTCAATCCGTTTTTTACATTTATTCAAGAAGTGCTAAAGTAAAATTTTACTTAAAATGATACTTACTTCTTGTATATCCACAGTACAATTTGAGTTGCTAATATTTTGCTTAACAGGTGCAGGATAAGTTTCACTCTCAAGTAATCCAACAGTATTTTTGTTTTGTGTGTTATTTTCTTCATCTACAGAATAAAAAATTTCTATTAAATAAATACATTTTGTGAGAAGAGAGAAAATAATAAGATCTACTCATAATTGATTTGTATTTATTTTTATTATATAAAAGATGTTAAAATTTTCATACAAATACAAGTATACTTATTTCATCACTTTTAAAACAATAAAATATTGCAGACAAATGTTAGAATTGCATTTCAACATCAATTTTCAATTAAATTTAAAAAATTTAAAATGCCATAATTCTGATTTTAACAACCAGTGAGCTAAGATCAAATTCAATTACTAATATAATTATTTTATATCAAACAATATCACAATAATTAATCTTAGTTTGTTACTAAAATTAGTAAAATAAATTTTATAATTCAAAATAATTCATTCTATTTAAAATAAAAATTTGGACATTGATAATCAAGATAGAAGTCCAATTAGATAGGAAACTTGATAGAAATCTCATAAAAAACAAAAATTAGAAAAATGAAGAACATAAATCACTTCTTAACAGGAGAAAGAGAGAATTAATAATATAATAATTACAATAAATTGAGCTTTATAAAAAACACATTTCATTTTTGTAATTTGTTCAAATAATGAAGAAACAATGTCTAATCAACTATACAAGAATTTAACAAATATATTAAACTGTTAAAACTCAAAAAGGAATTAACAAAGATAATATATTAATACATTGGGGTAGCTGAAAGTTTGATTCCAATGTCTATTGTTGGCCCTGAGTCATTTTATATTTGTAAAAACATACAAATCAAAATAATTGGTATGTTCTATGCTTGATAAACTTATTCCAAATTAGATCATCATTTGCTTCAAAATCCAATGGTTAAAACATGAAGAACTTTTAAAGTTAACTGAAGATCAAATGTTTTAAGTAAATTTAAAATAACATGCATGTACACACATATATATAGTAATGAATAAATAAACAAATGTTACAAGTTTGATATTTTTAGCATGAACATAAACACAGATATAATAATAGGATGCAATTACTATAAATGGAATAACAAATAATAAGACACAATTTCTTATTTTCAGCTCAGAGTATTTATGCTGTTAGATTTCTCTATAGACACTTTTGTTCTGCATATGTAATTTTTCTATTTGCAGCATAGAATGATGATATGCAGAATACAATATAATATTGTTTTCTCGAAAATATAAAAGAAAAATTTTTTCTAAAATACAGCAATGGCTAGCCTTTGAGTACAGTAGAAAAATTAAAAATTATGAAGGCAATCAGAAGGAACAGGATTTAGATTGGTAAATTTGGCCAATTTTAACACAAAAATAATTTTATTGACATTTTTGACATCAAAAGTCAATTTGTTTTTAAATAGTATATAATTTCATTTATCACTTTTGTCTACAAGTTTATTTTTTGAAATTTTTTAAAAATTTTAATTTAATTTCTTTAAGATACTAGAGCCTTGGCCTTTTACAAGCATCCCAATAACAAAAGAAACAAAACAAAAAATGGTTAGAAAACATTAAACTAGAAACATAATTTCAGTTACATCACACAACTTTTAACTATTTGAACTTATACTGTATTCTAATTCACTTTTATATAGAACCAAATAAACAAGCAGAACTTCCATAATTTAAAAATCTCAAAAAAATCGCTTTTTAATTAAAAATTAATTAATTGGTTAATTTATAAATAAAAAAGTTGTTTCAAATATGGATATTAAAATAATCTAGAAATAATTACCAAATACTTAAGGTATCAACAATCATAGCTTCTAGATTCTAAATTTACATTCCTACAGAGATAGAATTTTAATTTCTTTTACCAGATTGTCAAAATATAATAATATTAAATAAAAATATTAATATACTATGCAAAATAAAAATTGTTACCTAATATTAACTTAATTCTCTGCAAAACAATTCCTAATATAAGCAGACATCAGATAAATAAATTTTTAATTGCTATTACCAGTTAATTTCAAACTTTCCAATCAAGTTTTAAACAAATTATTTTGATTTTAATAATCTTCAAACTATTTATCAAATTAGACAATATGTTAGAGTTATTTATTATTGCAGTATATATTAGTTTCTAAATAAAAATTTAATCATTGCTTCTAAATTAATTAAAGATTATTTTAATATAAGAATGAAATAAACCTAAAAATATACAATTGTAGAAATATATGTCTCTAAATATTCCAAAAATTTCATTGGAATGAAAATAAATTCAACTTACTTCTTACAGTTGACATTAAAACATCATTTTTAAAATCCAGATCTTTGGAAATACAGTTATGAATGTTTTGTCCTTTTAGTTGAAATTGGGATGTTGATGAATTCTGTCCATTTTCCAATGAAGGAAGATGATTTGCTTTTGAATTATGCACATTCTGAGTTTCTAAAGAAACTTCAGAACTACTACTATCACTGCTATAACCATTCTCTGAATTGAGCACTGTAGGATTTTGATGAAGATGTGTTTCTATGTACTTCATTGCTGGTGATTTATTATCAGTCTTAATAGGTATTAATTCTCTATCATTTTTTCTATTCCATTTATCACTATCTGTACTACCAAACTTACAGTCAACTGATTGTAATAGGGTATTACACAAAGAATTATTTGATGTTCCATTCTTTTTTGTATTACAGGTTGCATATTTTTCCTTAAGATTACTTTTTTCAGTCTTGGTACTTTCTTCTGTTTCAATATTATTAATAGAAGAATGTTTAGGGATATAAGGTATACTATCAATAGTTGCTCTTCGATTAATTCGTACTCTATGTTTAAATGCACTATTGAAATTTTTATGTTGAACAATAGACTGACTTATTCCATCCAGTGGATATAATGTATCAGTATTTGTTTCTTGCAAAATCTCTCTATGAAAAAAAATTGTTTTATTACTCTTTTAGTAATAAAATAATTATAGTTTTGCTTATACACACAGTATATAATTAAGAAATGAATAATTCTGTAATAGCTTACGTTTCCTTGGAGGATGGATTAGAAGGATAGACTTCTGAAATTGGTATTTGTGTAGAAGTAAACTTTGACCATTTGTTCATTCTGCGAAATGCAGTTCTCTTTGAAGGAATTCGACATGGCCATATTGTTTTAATCTAAAATGTTATAATAATAATAAGTAACTAGATATATACATGAATATATAAAGCAACAACCACTGTCATATGACATCAGGCTAAATTTTGGTTATAATAATTATAAATTACTGATAAATTTGACCAAAGAGATAGAATTTAGCCCTATGTCATACAGCAGTGGTTGTTGCTTTATTATAGCATATTGGGTTTTGTGGTGATGTTTATATTTTTATGAATATATATATTCATGTATTAGTTTTTAAAGTTTTTCCTTAATAAAAAATTGAAAAGAATTGTAATGTAGTTTTGAAGACTACAATAGATTTATGTAAAGTGTACATTAAGTTTAACATTTAAACTTAAATAATATTTTGATTTTTTATCATGTTCCTATAAAACATTCTGCAAATATATATATACAGTAGAGCGTTGTTTATCTGAATCAATTGGGGACTGGGGTTGTTCGGATAACTTATTTTTCAGATAACTGATTATGTACGAAAAAATATATTAATTTATCCTGTGTTGAAATTTTTCTCCGTTGTGTGTCACTTCACGTTGAATTTTCGTCGATGTTAAGCCTAACGAAGACTATTGTATCGTTAAAAATTATTTTTTTATTTTGTACAAACAAAATAAATATATTGAAAAATATAAAAACAATAAAAAATTATACTTCAGAAGTTAATTTAGTATCAAAAACGTAAAATATTTGAGTAGCCGAAGACATAGCCAAAGATTACAGCACCACAGCACTGGCAAAAATTTAAATTTGTCGACTGGAATTCCTTCGAATAACCGACCTTTGGATAAACGACGCTCTACTGTATATATATAGCTGAATAAAATGTGTAATTGACTTCAGAGAGATAAAAATTAATCTAAAAGAGAATCTAAATTAAAGTAAGACAAATATATTGTAAGAAATTATGGTTTTCTCAGATGACAGCATGCTGATATTCTAACATACTTCTTATAATAAATAAGTCTGTTGAAAATAGCATAAATGTTTTGAGATAAAATCTCATCTTCAAGGCATTTATCAGAACAAACAATCTCAAAATGAAGGTATTTTGTATTGAAAACATTTATCATACAGTTTTCAATTATTTATTGTTAGGATAAATTTTAAATTTATAGATAAATATATTGTAGAGTCAGAAAACAAGATGCATTGAATGTTGAACTCTGGACATCTGATTGCAGAAAATAAGAAGCATCTTTTCTGCATTAATAAATCTATGTAAATTATCCTATCTATATGATTTTTCAGTTTGAATTGTATAAATCAGTGTTTCTCAACCTCTAACGAATCATTGCCCCCTTCACTATAAAATTCCAATGCCGAGGGCCTAGACTAATGCCAAATTCATACTGCATTGAATAGAATAGTGACTAGTATAATGTTATTTGTTTAATTATTGTAAAATGTAACAAATAAAATATCTAATTATTCTTAATATAACGATTTACTGATATAACGATCACACAAAAAATTGTTTTTCGCCCCCAAAATATAAATTGTTACTAATTGCTCCCTCAACATGGAAAAACGCCCACATGGGGGCAATATCGCCCCATTGAGAAACACTGGTATAAATGCTGGCCACCTGTATTCAACTGATAGTTTTTGTTCATCTTAATTTGTGTTTATTGTGAGTAGTGTAATATTCATCATTCTTCTCTTATTATCATATCAAAGCATTTCACATGTTCTTCTTTATGCCTTGTTTTTAAATATTTTGTATAAATAAAAATAATGATAATAATACTGTATTTTAAAATTTTGAACAACATATAAACTTACTTCTTCTAGGACACTAGAATGATGAGGTCGTTTCTTTATGGTTAAATGTATTTCACTTGGATGTTCTCTTGTTGCACATACCAAATTTTTCAATTGCCATCCAACCTAAAATTTAATAATTCATTTTAAAATTATATTGATTAGACTTGTTTATGTTTAAAATTAAGCAATATTCTTACCACAGTTTGGTAATTCACTTGAATAATTTCATCACCTTCTGAAATTTTTCCACATCGATATGCTGGACTCTAGGGAAAAAAAAAACATAAATTGTTAATTTTGATAAAATGATACATTTATTTTAAAATACAATGGAATGCAATAAACTATAAAAAGTATTACTTAGAAAAATGTTCACTATAAATGATTTATATATAAATAACAAAATAATTTGTTTAGCTCAAGTGACCCTCAGATGTGCGACGATTCTCGAACGAATAGGTGTGCACGTGTGCTGATCTTTGTAATTATAAATTGTGAATACGTGTGACTAATATTATTTTCTTTTTTATTTTGTCATGTTATAAGTTATAAATAAATATAAACAAACAACACTAACTCCATAACATTAAATCTAAACACCAAAATGATTAATTTACTGTGTTTTTTTATTTCTTACTCCTATTTTTACGTATTCAGTATTCGGCCGAATAGTAACCGAATATTCGTTACATCACTAATATATATATGATAGATATAGTTTTGTTTTAATAAAAATATATAGCAATTGTACTCACACCGGTTAATGGATGTTGGGAGTCGTATTTTATATTCACCCCAGTGTGCTGTGCAGTTATGTAAAAACTTAATTTACAATTTTGATACAAAATTTAAACATATTTAAATTTAAAGTTGTTTTTATTATGTTTTGCTTTAAAATATGTTCTTGATAAAGTTATAAATAAAAGTAATGAAAGCATTTGAAATGAAATACCTCAAAATAAATTCGAACAATTTAAAAAAATTATTTTCAGAAAATTTTAAAATAATAAAAAACTATTATAAATATATTTTTAATTGAATCTATAGGAATGTANTTCGGATAACTTATTTTTCGGATAACCAATTATGTACGAAAAAATATATTAATTTATCCCGTGTTGAAATTTTTCTCCGTTGCGTGTCGCTTCGCGTTGAATTTTCGTCGATGTTAAGCCTAACGAAGACTATTGTATCGTTAAAAATTATTTTTTTATTTTGTACAAACAAAATAAATATATTGAAAAATATAAAAACAATAAAAAATTATACTTCAGAAGTTAATTTAGTATCAAAAACGTAAAATATTTGAGTAGCCGAAGACATAGCCAAAGATTACAGCACCACAGCACTGGCAAAAATTTAAATTTGTCGACTGGAATTCCTTCGAATAACCGACCTTTGGATAAACGACGCTCTACTGTATATATATAGCTGAATAAAATGTGTAATTGACTTCAGAGAGATAAAAATTAATCTAAAAGAGAATCTAAATTAAAGTAAGACAAATATATTGTAAGAAATTATGGTTTTCTCAGATGACAGCATGCTGATATTCTAACATACTTCTTATAATAAATAAGTCTGTTGAAAATAGCATAAATGTTTTGAGATAAAATCTCATCTTCAAGGCATTTATCAGAACAAACAATCTCAAAATGAAGGTATTTTGTATTGAAAACATTTATCATACAGTTTTCAATTATTTATTGTTAGGATAAATTTTAAATTTATAGATAAATATATTGTAGAGTCAGAAAACAAGATGCATTGAATGTTGAACTCTGGACATCTGATTGCAGAAAATAAGAAGCATCTTTTCTGCATTAATAAATCTATGTAAATTATCCTATCTATATGATTTTTCAGTTTGAATTGTATAAATCAGTGTTTCTCAACCTCTAACGAATCATTGCCCCCTTCACTATAAAATTCCAATGCCGAGGGCCTAGACTAATGCCAAATTCATACTGCATTGAATAGAATAGTGACTAGTATAATGTTATTTGTTTAATTATTGTAAAATGTAACAAATAAAATATCTAATTATTCTTAATATAACGATTTACTGATATAACGATCACACAAAAAATTGTTTTTCGCCCCCAAAATATAAATTGTTACTAATTGCTCCCTCAACATGGAAAAACGCCCACATGGGGGCAATATCGCCCCATTGAGAAACACTGGTATAAATGCTGGCCACCTGTATTCAACTGATAGTTTTTGTTCATCTTAATTTGTGTTTATTGTGAGTAGTGTAATATTCATCATTCTTCTCTTATTATCATATCAAAGCATTTCACATGTTCTTCTTTATGCCTTGTTTTTAAATATTTTGTATAAATAAAAATAATGATAATAATACTGTANAATTTTCTAAACAAATTTATATAAAATGATTATTAATTAAAAAATTAATAATCCTATAGAGATTTTAGGTTATATTTTATCATCATTATATTCATATATTTTAAATATGTGATATAAAATAGAAAAAAATTAATAATAATAAGATTTAAAAAAATTAGAACTTAATACTTTATTTCTTTTCACATGTTTTGTAATCAAATTAAATTCATTTATTCAAAAGTTCAATTTACAATATTAATATTAATGAAACAGATTAAAATCAATTGATCTTATAACACAAAAAAAAAATATTTCTGAAAATATTTTTTAAAAATATTATATCATATTTTATTTTAAAACATAGTGATAGTAAACATTTGATAACATTAAACTATTTATTTATATTATTTTTATTTAAAACAATTCAAATATTAATAGAAATACTCACTAAATCTTCATCAGCTCTTTTTTTCACAGTAGCAACATTTAATGATGCAGGTTGAATAATTAAAGAATCATTAAATTTCTGTACAATAGTATCACATTGTTCAGCAATATTATAACACTAAAAATATAAATTTGAATAAATAAATAAGAATATAAAACTAAAATTTACATATACATATACATTTTACAGCTAAAGCCCATGAATTAAATAAAGCTAGGATTACAGTCTCCAAACAAACTTTCAAATTATTATTGGACAATTATAAAGCTAATTAATAATTAGATATAAATCAATTTGACTAAAAGTAAGCAATTATGCCTATATATAATTTGGCAATGTGAAGACTTTAATGTATCAAGTTGATTGTTGTTTATATAAAAGCTAGGAAACATTTGTTCTTCTTTCATCCATCTGTTTTTAAATGATGTCAGTTTTATCTGTATGTGACTTGAATGAAGTGTGCTTTATATGGATAAAATTGAGAATTAATAGATTGTTACTTGCTTTAACCAAAGGACTTAGTATTAACCAGTTAATCCTAGCTTTATCCACTTTATGGGCTTTAACTGTATATTATATATAATTCTTTTGTTGGTCTTTAATAGTCTTCCTCAGTCTTTAAACAGATTATAGATGTATTCTAATGTGCTATTTGAAAAATAAAATAATTTGAGTCTGTATTCTATTTATATTGAGGAAGCTTTAATTTTATAAAAGATAAAAAGTATACATTATTACTATATTGTTGAAGTTCTATGTGATTATAAAAACACAAAAGAAAATTAAGATATTTTTGATATCATATTTATTAGCTAGGATAGCTTTATTAATATAATAATATAAAATACAATTAACAAAAAGACTAACAATAATAAAATTTTTATCTCTAATGTAATGTTTTATAAACCTTAAGATATTTCAAGAATTCTTTATTATTAATTTTATTAGAATAATCTGTAAGTTTTTAAATATATTTAGTCTCTATATTTTTAGTTTTATTTCTTTAATTTTTAACAATTTTATGATAAAATACTAATATACTGATAGTGTGAAAATACAGCCTTTCATAGCATTTGAGTAACAGAATTTGAATAAAACCCAAAATTTAAAAATAACATACGATAATGTAAATTTCATCTCATGGATAAACAAACAGATCTCTGTACATACTAAAAACAGTTCAGGGAGTCAGATTTATTTGAGATAAAACATTTTTTGGAATAGCAACATCTCATCATCAAATCCAACATGATCTGTTAGGGTACTGAGATCTGTTACGGGACATTCCAATTTTCAATGCTGACACAGCGCTGATCTCAATGTTCGTTAAAAATCGTTCCTTTTTTCAACGTTGAAGTGGCATTGTTGTCAGCGCTGTCTCAACACACTCAGCACTCAACAGACATGTTGACTGCTAATTTCCAATGAATTGTGGGTAATTGGTGCGACATTTGAATGGAATCCATCTTGCTGAGCATGGAATTATGGGAACTAAGCACTTCGTACTCGAGTTGGAACGTCATTGATGACGTCAAATTGTTGACTTCAACACTCAAAATTCGCGTTGAAAATCGGAATGTCCCGTTAATTACAATTCTGTGAAGTGACTGAATGCAATAAAATATAAATTTCAGCAATTAAAGTACTCATCTGTAGAAAAGTCAAACGACTACCAGATTATATCAAGCTAAACTACTACTACTACTACTATTCATAATTAAATGCTAAGTGATGTTTGTCTACCTCTAGTACCAAACTAGAAGTAGGCATTAGATTCCATCATTAAGTTTAATAATTAATTTAAAAAGTTCTGGAAGAAAAGAATTGATCCAAAGCAGAACTCAAACCTGCAACTCCCACTCCATGCAGTTGCATTGCCAGTTACTTTCAAGAGAAATTGTCATGTTTGAGTCTAAATAGTAGGTTTGTTTAGCAATAGCAATAAAAAATTTTTATAATAGCTAAGCATGAAACTTGCAGAAGTTTATCTTCAGCTTAAACAATTGAAATGAATAAAGGAATGGAAAAGAAAGTAAAGAGAAAAAGTGTTATGTTCAAAGAATATGGAATAAAAAAAGTTTATAAACTATTCAATGAAGTCAAAAAATTACTTTAATTTAAAAATATAAAATACAAGAAAAAAATCTCACCTGTTCTAACTTTAGAACTAATTAAAAACATTCAAACAACACTTAAATCAAGTAAAAATAAAATAATCCTTTCAATTATAAGTTACGTATCAAATGCATTTTGCCAAAAGACAACACTTCACTTTGACAAAATCATCATTTACTGTCTGGCCATGACTGGAGTTATCAAAAGTAATCCAAAACATCAACTTTTGTTTTTCATTCTCTTCAATATCAAAAACTTGTTCAATTCTCTTTTGGTGGCTGAAATACTATTTCAAATCAACATTGTCAAAGTTCTTAGTATGTTCCTGATAATCAGTATGTATTATGACCAGTCTTGTTTTGAATTTTTTAAATTTCAAATAAATATACAATGCATTCCACAGGTTTAATTATTTTTGTTCTTAAAATTCTTTATTGTTTAATGCTATAGAGTTTATCTATATTATCTGTATAATCTATGCCTTTATTCTGTTTTTACTTAAATACACTGTATTAAATTAAAATTCTAACAATTTATGTTAGATATTATGTTGGTAAATTTTGATTTTAGGCTATTCGTTTTATAATTATTTAATAATTTACTAAATTATTAAAAGAATATATGTATATTTAAAAAAAATGTTTGTAATTTAATCTCTAGAGCATATTTTTTTGTTTTTTAAATGAATTCATTCTAAATGAGTCAAATATTTAATGTAATCAACTGCATATTCATAACAGCTAAAACTGAAACACAAGTTCAAGTAGATTCACTGTCTTAATTAAAAACAATAGTAAATTCAAATTTAAAAAACTAAATTGATATTATGGAGTCATTCTGTACAAAAAAACATTTTTCGTTATGTTAGCAAGCTTTTAATTCTGTATGCATAACATAATATTAAAATATCTTTTCATTATGATTATCTATGCTAAGAAATCATAGTTTAAATAAATAATTACAGACAAATCAGATGAAAACAAGGAGAAAAAGCTAAGAATTTAATATCTTTGATATCACATTACCTAAATTTCTAACCAGTACTGATGTCAATTGTATATTTGATACTCGTGAATTGATGTGATTTTCATCAACAATAAAAAAATGTTAATTCTACAGAATTTCTTGGATAGAATGTCATCAGATAACAATAATAATATAAACTAAAGTATAATTTATTATCATTACATTATAATAAATTATTAGACATATATTAAATTACAGACTTATATATAAAAATATGCATGCAAATTTTACATTTATTTATATTTTATTTAGTACAATGTTCATACTCTTTGTACACGGTAAATATAAATGAATAAATAATACATAAATAATAAATATACAAGTTTTATAGTCTCTTATACAAAATTACATTAATAAAGTTTTATATTAAAATATTTCTATTGTAAATAATTTTCTAAACAAATTTATATAAAATGATTATTAATTAAAAAATTAATAATCCTTTAGAGATTTTAGGTTATATTTTATCATCATTATATTCATATATTTTAAATATGTGATATAAAATAGAAAAAAATTAATAATAATAAGATTTAAAAAAATTAGAACTTAATACTTTATTTCTTTTCACATGTTTTGTAATCAAATTAAATTCATTTATTCAAAAGTTCAATTTACAATATTAATATTAATGAAACAGATTAAAATCAATTGATCTTATAACACAAAAAAAAAATATTTCTGAAAATATTTTTTAAAAATATTATATCATATTTTATTTTAAAACATAGTGATAGTAAACATTTGATAACATTAAACTATTTATTTATATTATTTTTATTTAAAACAATTCAAATATTAATAGAAATACTCACTAAATCTTCATCAGCTCTTTTTTTCACAGTAGCAACATTTAATGATGCAGGTTGAATAATTAAAGAATCATTAAATTTCTGTACAATAGTATCACATTGTTCAGCAATATTATAACACTAAAAATATAAATTTGAATAAATAAATAAGAATATAAAACTAAAATTTACATATACATATACATTTTACAGCTAAAGCCCATGAATTAAATAAAGCTAGGATTACAGTCTCCAAACAAACTTTCAAATTATTATTGGACAATTATAAAGCTAATTAATAATTAGATATAAATCAATTTGACTAAAAGTAAGCAATTATGCCTATATATAATTTGGCAATGTGAAGACTTTAATGTATCAAGTTGATTGTTGTTTATATAAAAGCTAGGAAACATTTGTTCTTCTTTCATCCATCTGTTTTTAAATGATGTCAGTTTTATCTGTATGTGACTTGAATGAAGTGTGCTTTATATGGATAAAATTGAGAATTAATAGATTGTTACTTGCTTTAACCAAAGGACTTAGTATTAACCAGTTAATCCTAGCTTTATCCACTTTATGGGCTTTAACTGTATATTATATATAATTCTTTTGTTGGTCTTTAATAGTCTTCCTCAGTCTTTAAACAGATTATAGATGTATTCTAATGTGCTATTTGAAAAATAAAATAATTTGAGTCTGTATTCTATTTATATTGAGGAAGCTTTAATTTTATAAAAGATAAAAAGTATACATTATTACTATATTGTTGAAGTTCTATGTGATTATAAAAACACAAAAGAAAATTAAGATATTTTTGATATCATATTTATTAGCTAGGATAGCTTTATTAATATAATAATATAAAATACAATTAACAAAAAGACTAACAATAATAAAATTTTTATCTCTAATGTAATGTTTTATAAACCTTAAGATATATTTTATAAAAACATTAATAATTATAAAAATAATATTTTAAAAATCATTTAATTATAACATACACTGTTTTGAATTATTTCAGTTGGTTTTTCTGCAAACTGATCTCTTTGTGCAGTAGATGCAAGTTCAATGCTATACCTGAGAATTGACTTTCGAACAGCTTTGTACTGATCTTGTCCCTCAAATGGATATCTGTAATTTAAAAATCATGATATATATTTTATGAACAAAAATTTTTAAAATTATATTGAAGAAATTAATCACTGCAAAGTCAATAAAGAATTTATAAGAATAAAGATAATTAATAATTTAAAATTTAAATTTAAATAATAAAATAAAATTATTTATAAAACGTTTAAAAAAATAAACACTTCTATTGATATTAAATAAAATTTACTTATTTGAATAAATAAGTTAATTACACTTGTATTAAATATGATTTTGTTTACTTTTTAAATCATTCCATTTACCTTTTACATAATATGATCGAACAGAACATCCAAGTAAAGCAATTTGTTTCAGTTTCTTTTAAATATATTGCATTTTCATATAATTTTTATATATCTGTGTTAGGATTTTGAATTTTGGGTCTGCCAATTCCAAGAGATGTTCCACTTGGCACACAAAGTTGTATATAAAACCTGTACTATCTTTACTGTTTCTATTTTTTCTGTATTATCTCTCTATGAATTTTATGATAAATGAAAATGTGTAGTTTCCTTCTGAAGAGGATTAAATCTTAAAGAATTTATTGTAACTATTGTTAACTATTAATAATAAAGAAGTGCTGAATTTTAGTGTTAATGTGAAATAATATGCAAAACACACACACATAAAACAAGTAAGATATAAATTTTAAAAAATACATAATGTATATAATACATACATTATATATATATACTTTCATTTTGTTATCATTAATTTTTATTTCTCAATTATTACAACTTTATATAATACCTAATAATAAGAGAAGATTCACATTTCATTTTTTATTATTTAAAATAACTGAAATTTCTATTTTATTACATAATTTCACAACTTTTATGATCATTTGATCAATGACTAAAGAATATTTTGTATATCTTTAAATGCTTTGAAAGCAATGCAGTTGGAAATTCCTGCTACAAAAAGTGACCAGTGTTCACCTATTGCACTAATGTGTACAATTCATTTTTGAGTTCAGAAAAATTTTTTTATTCCAGAAAATGTAATTATTCTCAAAAATTGTTAATCCAGAATTATCATCATCTCAGTGTAGGAAAAAATTCTTCCAGGACAAACAGAATTTCTGGTCAATCCTATCCAAACCAGGATGGTTGAAAACCCTGATCTATGTATATATATTTTTTATTCCTAAAATAATATATTGACTATAAAATAAATGAATGTTGTAAGTAAAAATTATGGATAATCATGAAAACTACATATTTATTTTTTCCATCTGTAAACTCTACATTTCATTTCAAAAGTTTATATGAAAATAAAATAAAATACTTTTTGAATTAGATATTTGTTTCATATTATTATAATAAAATAGATTTTATTTATTGTTTTAATTTAAAAAGTTAAATAAATAATAAAAACTATAAATAAAAAAAAGAGTCATACTCTTTATTTTACTGTATTAAATTGTTAATAAAAATCTGAAATAAAATATGGTGTTCTGAATTTATTCTGAATTGAATTTATTTAGAAGAGATTCATTAATAGACTCTAAATATGGTTTTAATGAAAAAGTTCAAAAAGGAAATAAGAGAATAAAATGGAATTCTATAGGACTAATAATGTAAAATAAAATACTACAGAAAGTGGAACAGGAAATATATTCTTTAGTTACATTTATTAATGATCATATATAGTTCAAATAATTTATTATTTGTCTTTTTAAATACAATTCAAATAGTAACTTGTTTTAATGACTATAAAGATAGTCATTAAAACAAGTTACTATTTGAATTATGCGTTACTCTAGTGATTTGAAGAACTACAAAAAAAATATAATTATCATAAATATTTAGTACAAGGATAAAAATAATGTAAAATTTGTTTATTTAGTTGATAGTTTCTATCAAACTAAAATTCAAAAACATATTTTCTGTAATCAATAACATACTATATTATATCATGTGATATTTTTCTGAATATTTGTTCAATGCAAAATGTTATATTTATATGTAAAACAAAAAATATCAGTAACTATTAATAATATTCTGATTATTAATGCAAATATTAATAATGCTTTTCAATTTTAAATATGATTTTAGTTACAAAATAATTACACTTTATCAAATATATTAAGCTTCACATTTTTAAATTTATTTTTTTTTAAATACTCTCAAAATTTTAATTTCATTAATTAGCAAAATATTTTAGTGATTTTCATGTCAATTTTCAATAGGTCCTACTACATATTACCAAATGCATATACTTTTAATTACAAATGTACAAAATCATTCATTTTGGAAAAAAAAAAAAAACATTACAGTAAGACCCCACTTAACATGGGGGATGCGTTTCTAGACAACAAAGCACTAAACGAAACAGCATTAAATGAGGTAATTTTAACACAGAGTAAATAGGAAAAGGAGAACATGTGACCAAAAATAAAACAGATTTTACTTTAATTTTAAGTTATTTTTATATTAATTTGCATAATAATATAGGTTAATAACACAAACATATGCACACAGAAATGTAAAGCTCATTTTTTGTGATGAAGGTCCTGGGTCTTCTGAAATTCTTCGTTTTGCGATAAAGTCGTGTAGTTTTCTTTTTCTTTTCTTAAGCAAATGTCAGTAGTAAGAGACTGCATTCAAAATCTGGATCATTTGCAGCAATTTGATCAATGATTTCTGTCATTGTTACCAAACTTTTACTAACGAAATCTGTAACAATTTCTTTGGTTTCTTCGTTTTCAGAATCATTGTTTTACAGTTCTACATGAATTCCTTGTTCTGCCAGTTCTTGAAGGTCATCATTGGTAAGGCTCTTACCAGAAACCTGCAGTAATTACTCAATATCCTGCTCATCTACATTTCCTATTCCTGCTGTATCAATTAGGTTGACAATTTGGTAAACAATAGGCTCTTCTCATTGAGAATTCTTGAATACCTCCAGCCATACCTTCTTCCACACGCCATTCACACATTTATCAGTTAATTGTTGCCAAGCGAAATCGATATTTCCTATGGCATCCATGATGTTATATTTTTTGAAAATTGCACAAAACAAACATAGATTTAAGATATAGATTTAAGAAAAGTACAGTGCTATGATGAATTGCCACCTTTCGCTGATTGGTTCGTGTTTGGGAATAATTGTATTATATACGAATCAATGAAATGCCATGATAATTTGAATCTGTGTAAATTTTGAGCTTTTCTTAGGCTTCGAGCAGATTGCGTTATACTGAATCAGCATTAATCAAGGCAGTGTTAAGCAGGGTCTTACTGTATTAGTATTTATATATCTTTGTAGAGTTATAAAACTTGGAATATAAAATTATCAGAAATATATAAAAATGTATCATCACTAACTTATGTTTGTAAAATATAAAAAAGACATTGTTGCAGTAAATAATATTTTATAATAACTATGTGTTTGCATTGCATAGATGATAAATAAAATCACCCCTAGTTCAAATATACATATACTATTTATTTGTCTTTTTAAATATAATTCAAATAGTAACTTGTTTTCTAATAAAGTTTTCTTTTACTTATAAATATGATAGTAAAGTGTGCTTATGAAAAATAACTTTTATTTTAGTTCAGATGACTTATTATGAAATACCCTTCATCAAAAATTGTTTGCAATACAATTGCAAATTTATAATAATCAAAGAAAGAAAATAATTCTAATAGTAGCAATTTGTAATATTAGTATTTAGTAATTTAAATAACATTACATAACAAAATTACTAATGCTAATCTACATAAACAAATATAAACAATCAATAACCTGATTATTTGATAAATGCCAATCAAATGTTTCTACATAAAGCTATATATTTCTTCCTATTTATTCTGGCAATATTGATTTTTTCACTTAATAATTAACTTTTCTATATATAGAAAAGAAACATTCTTTAAAACAACTGCAAAAACTTTTTTAGTAAATAGTTCATAATATAGATAATTTCAAAATAAATGAATAAATTGCTAATTAACATATACATAATCATGATTAATTGAATAAACAGTTAATTAACATATAAACTATAATGGTTAATTAGGATATATTTTTCCAATATTTTAAATGAATCATATCCTCTTAGGTTAAAATGAGTGTATTGTCTGAGGACCAAATTTAGCTTTAATTATTGGAAGTAAGTTATGAGCAATTCGAATTTTAAAATAAGCAATTATGATCAATTATTTACTTTAATATTAAGAATCATTTAATAAAAAACAAGTGCATAAAATAGTTTTAATAAAATAAAAGTTCATTATATTTCTGCTGAAAATTTCTTTCTATTATTACTGAATTTTTTACTGAATTATTACTGAATTACTGAATATTTTAAATTATTACATTAGTTTTTTGTTTTATGTTGAAGTTTTTAAAAACGTCTATTAAACTGAAAATTCCCTATATATAAAAATATTTTTTGAAGAAAAAAAAACAAGTTTTTGTTTATTTTATGGATTAGAAAGGAAATAGATATATTTTTTTCTGTATTTAAAAACTTCTACCCATGAAAAATGATGGAAAAAGAAATATAACTAGTCAGCATTTAGTAAAATCAGTGATTTTTTTACAAAACATAACGATGAGAAAAATTCCATCAAAAATGCTGGGAGTAGAAATGAAAAAATTAATTTTTACTTAAAGCTATATAAACTTTATCAAATTATAAAATTTCTTTTATTACAACGTTCTCATTAAGATTATGTTGCCTCCTAGTAATTTGATCTATTGTTTAAAATCTGAAATTCTTCTGTTGCAGTAATATAATCCTGACTTACTCAAATTTTATTCAGCTTTGAATTTGGATGTGTACCAACTGGCAAAATTGGAATATTTAACTTATGAGGAAATATGCTATTTACTACATTATCCAGTGAATTTTGTCCATTTTATACTCAAGATATAAAATGATAATAAGTTTTAGAATTTCAATTCACCCTATTCAAAGAAAATCAATTACTTCTGACACTATGGTCCTGCTTAAAATTAACTAAAATACTAGATGATTATAATTAAAGTACTCCTGTTTTAAGCTATTTACAGAATTATTTAGCAATCCAAATGCAACCAACTTTGGTATGGTGACATTTCAGGACATGACAAAGACATTTCTGTAAAAAAAATTAGTACCAAAACTCACTTCCTCGACACCTTTAGCACTACAAGTAACAAACGTTTTATTTGTACAAGATATTAATACTATACATGATCTCAGTGTTGTATAGAATACTATTCAATGTGGTCCGCTTTTAAAATAACAGTATGTTAAACAGCCAATTGTAATTGATCTTCTGTGATGCTTCTCAAATGCAGTGTAATATTGTCTCTTAAGGCTGCCAAATTTGAATTCAAACTTTTGTTAAACATTGTGTTATATAGTTATTAAATATAACATTAGATTTTTGTTATAATTGTTTTCTTGATAACATCAAAATATTATTTTTTAATGTGCAAAAGAATACAAAAAATTATAAATTTAACAAATATTGAATGATTGTAATTGAAGTGCTTCTATTCAATATTGCCTCAAAAGACATTATTTTAATTAATATTAATTTAACATAAAATTTAATAAAATTTAAAAATGCAAAATAACTCCTAAATACTGAAAAGTAGTAATTGCTTTTAATGAAATATGAAAAAACACTAATATTTTTCTTTTAATATCAAATCTAATGTAAATAATGATGTTGACATTTCCCTGGAGATATTTTACTTTTTTGTTTCCATGACAACATAATTTTCAAATGAGTTCCTAAAGATGAGCATTAGAGCTTGAAAGTGATAGAATTTTGGTTAATCTTTGAAAATTTAGTTTTTACTTTCATTTTCCATACTTTGTTAAAGGCAATTTCTACTTAAGTGAAATTTAATTTTAAGAAAAAAAAAATTCAGATTTTATTTAAAGTGCATTCTTTAAATAGAAAAAAGATTTAATTTTAATTTAATAAATTAAATAAATACACAAAATAATCTTACCTATCCAACCAAGAAATGAGAATTTTAACAAAACCTAAAATATCAGAAACTGCAGATAATGTTTCTGTTGAAAGAAGTTCTTGTTTAGTTTTTTCTGCTAATATTGAATTCAAATGTTTCAAACTATTGCATAAACTTCTTGCTTTACATCCAAGTTTCAAAGCCAAAGACTGTAGATTTTCTGAAGTTAAATTATAGTGCTTAAGAAAAAAGAAAGAATATAATTAGTGTTAAATCGTAAAAAAAATTAATGTCATGAAATATCAAATTTCTAATAGTTAAGTTTTGAATAATTATTTATACATTAGAAACTTAAAAAGTTATTTTTAAATTATTATGTAATAAACACCTAATTTAAAATTATGTTGTAACACAATAGAATAATCAATTCAATTCCTTATGAAAAATAAATTTGTTCAGATAAAAATGTTTTAAAAAACTTACTGTGCAATAAAAAGTACATTCAAAAACAAAAACATTTTATTCTTATATTTTTATAGAATTAATTTACAAAAGACAAAGAAGAAAAAAAGACAAAAAATAAATGCCAACATTGTTCGTTTCATCAAATTAAGATTTCAAAATAATCCACAGAACCTGCTTACAAAAAATCTTTAAAATGTTGAATATTGCAAAAAAAATGTAATCAAATTCTAGAAAAAAGTTTAAAGTTTTTTTAAAGTTAATAAACTTTTAAAATAAAGAAAAAATTGTATATTCAATGCATTATCACCAACCAAGCTGAAAAATATCAATGATTTCTGAGAATAATATATATATACACAGAAAAACTTGGAATGCAATCTACAAAGAAATAAGAAGAAAATATTTCTGCTTCCACTTGAACCAATCAACTTCTTTCAAAAGCACTTAAGCTAAAACAGATTATTGTAAAGAAAATTTCTTAGAAAATATTTAAACATTTTTTACATTATACATCTACTGTAAACATATTTTAAGAAAGGAATTTTACAAGTAAAAATTATTTTAAAAAAATACGTCAAATATAAGATGTTTTTGATATCTGTTTATCATTGTAATTTCTTTAGCATAATTAAAAAAAACTCAAACAAAAAGTAAAAAATTGTTAATTAGATAATAAAAAAATGAATCATCATCTTTGTTGACTCATTTTAATTGATCATGAATGTACTTAACTAAACTTCATAGCAATTCATAACAATGTTAGCCCACACAAATAAAAAGAAAATAAGCATACCAATTGTCTTAATAATTCCACAGCTTCTAAGATAGTTTCTTGGTGTCCAATTTTAATAACATTCAAATGAGTCAGATCATCTGACACAAGTGTTAAGAGATGACAACCATTTATATTGTTGTTTAGAAAAAACTGGACATATGGCTGAACTACATCATCTAATCCTATATAATTAATAAACAACAAAATATTATATCTTAACAATAATAAAATTTAAATAAAAGATTATAAATATATACTTGCTTACTGGAGTCTAAAATTAATAATATAAAAAAACCATTCAAAAGTCCAGCATAATTCTTTAATAACATAAGAAGGTTTTCAAACGCATTAAGCGTCCATCTTCAGTTATTTCTCTAAAATCGAATGTGGAATTCAAAAAATTACGCAAGCAAAATTTCAAATAAAAATTTATATTATTAAAGGATTATGCTGGACTTTTGAATGGTTTTTTTATATTATTAAAAGATTATATTATCATTATTATTATAAATCTTACAATTATATATCTAAAACATTTGTCTAATTCTCACCTTTTCCTGATTTAATATTTTTTTTTTATCCTTCTAAAATATTTTACCTTTCCTGCATTGAAATATTTATATTTTAAATAATTTAACTGATGTCACATTTAATTTTATTAATTACATTTATTTGTGTATTTCAGTTATGTAAAAAAATATAAATAAAAAATTACATTAACAGATTTTGTATTTTTGTTTTTAATAATATTTTATCTGAAAATTATATAACACATAATATTTATTAATTAATTATAATAGATTATAGATTTAGTTGACACTAACACTCTAAAACCTTGGTTTCAGATTGTATATATTACAGAAATTAAAAATAAATTGTAAAAATAATAAAACAAAATTTTAATGATTCTATTGCTTTTATTAAATGTGATTTTCTGGTTTTAAATACAGTCGACCCACCTATAACACTGTTGATAATTCCATTTTATATGAATTCCATGTTGTACGAGTCACTTAGATTTTACAAATACGTGTATCGGGCTGTGAACGGCTCACGTATTGGTAAAATCTAAGTGGCTCATACAACATGGAATTTATATAAAACGGAATTATCAACAGTGTTATAGGGGAGTCGACTGTATTATATTTCAATTAAAGTAAGGGACAAATTTATTTAAAAAGTTTAATTTTAATGGTATAAAATAATAAAAATCAACCGATAATTTTATTCTGAAGATGTTTACATTCCACATATACCTATGATTAAAAAAAAAAAAAATTTTAAATGATGTAAATGATGTTATTCATACTTTAAAATATCAGAGTCAATTTATGGTTATTTATGGTAATAAATTGTAATTTTATTTACTCTATTATATAATAATTATTAACTATATCCTTAGATAAAAGGAAGACCTTGATTATCTAATGAAGTGTAACAGAAATTCCAAATTGTACTTTCATATAAAACTTAATAAGAATAAGATTATTTTAATTTCTATAATTTATTTTCCAAATGATTATAAATGCTAATACAGTATTTTAATTATTATATTGTAAAAAAACAATACATCATAACAAATTATAAAAACAATCTATTAATTTTTTTGATGCATTGAACTTTCACTTTAATGATAAATGACTTACTTTGCAATTTAAAAATCCAATGCAAATATTTAAATATTAATTATAGCCTAAATAAATGATCTATTATATATTATCTGAAAAAATTCATAATAAAGGGTAACATTAAAATCTCTGAAATAAATAAAGAAAAGAGTTATATTAAAAGAAAATTTATTTATTTATTTTTTTATCAGAAATTAAACAGAACATACTGTATTTGTCTATTAATTGCAAAGCATCATTCACTACATAACTGCTAATTTACTCAAGCATATCATTAAAATTTTTCAGATGTTAAACACAATAATTATTTAAGCAACAATTTTATATTTAAAAAGTCATTTATATGGTTCATAATATAATGTATGTTTTTAAAAATAATTTATTGTAAAACACACGTTAATTTCATAGACAATATGAATACAACACATATTAATTCTATAAGCATACAGCATAGTAAAAATAAAATGAATGTTTTAAATAAATAATTACTGATATAAAGATAATAAATAATACAAATATTTTAATTTAAATTTAAAACAAAATTTAATTACATTTAATTTAAAATCAGTGTAGAAATTATTCTATAAAATTTATTTTTTATGAATACTTCGTATTTACAGAGAACAAGTAACAAATTTTTGAAATGGCTTATAAAAATCTTTTAACTTTTTAATGTTCAAAGTTTCTAATGATGAACTAGAAAGAACAAAAGCATTTAAATTTTAATTTTAACAACTTATATATATATAATTATTTTTATTCTGTAACTTATTTGGAAAAACAGGAATATTTATTCTTCTATTTCAGAGAAATAACTGTTAAAAATTGTATATTTTTAAAAAAAATATATAGAATTTTTAGCTTCCTCAAAAATATAATTTAAATTTCTGTGAATAACAGAAATATTGCACATTCATATTAAAATACATTATATATAACTTTTTCACCATATTTAAGTGTCTAATGATAATGCTAATAACAAAAGATAGTTACATAATAAACCTGTTCAACCGCATTAATATCTAATTTGTGTATGTAAATCTGCATATGTGATGATTTTTTAAACTCATTTTAGATGCATATTTCTGTTAAGAAATAACTGTCTCAATAACATGTTTTTTTTTTTTTTTAAATATTAATTCAATCAGTGAAAAATCTGTACTATGATAAACTGCATAAATAATAACTGTCCTGAGTATTATTCTGCTTTATTTACTAGACTTATATTTGTTGTTCATACATGACAGACTGTATGAAACTATTACTTTTTATCAATATGTGAAAAATTAATTTTAAATAGTTCATTTAAACAATTTAATTTTAAATGTTGAATGAAGAAAGAATAGCTACATATTTCAATTAAACAACAACTTTCGTACCTTTGTCAAACTGAAAACCTTTGAATTAAAATGGTTTTCAGACAAACATCCCAAAAATGTTTCAATTAAAAAAGGCATTTGATGTTTTGACAAAAGATTTGAAAGTTATTGTTTTATCTAATTTAGTGTTTTCAATACAGGTTAAATCTACATAATCTGGCAACCTTGGAATCTGGTCATTGTTGAACTACAGAAAATGTTGGATTACAGAAATTGACCTTTAAAACCCCTAAGAAATCCAGCTATGAACCATATGCTTATTCTATACACATATTACACCTTTGATATACACATATCAAAGGTCAAACCAAGCTCAAGAAGTAATACAACTAGTAATGCTTCCAAACAAGATTTCTTTGTTTTGTGTAATATAAAGCCTAAAACCAAAAATACTTTTTAGTTCCTATAGCTCAGATTATGTCAGAAGTCAGCAGGGTCAGCAGTGTCTTCAAGGTATTCAGGGTTGTCAGGGTCTCTGTGCTCATCAGTTACAAGTACATTAGAAACAGAGGAAGTGTAGCAAAGTGGATTTTCTACATTGAAATGAATTTGAATAAGTTCTTTATTTCTTTCAACTTTCTTCAATCACTGTTGCAATGTAGATTGCTTCTGATACTTTGCCTTTCCCTTAATTAATTTTCTTTGAATCAAATAAACAGACAACAAATCTAAAAAGTAGTGGTGGAAAATCCAAAATGTACTAGACCATGAGAGTTGCTGGACTACAGAATGCCTGATTAAAGAAGTTCAACCTGTATTTTGGTATGTATAAATGTCAGATATATATATATTCACTATCAAAAGATTTTAAAATAATATGTTTATTAAACAAAAGTTTTTCATTGTTAAGGTATGGCCTTTATCAGTGAAAAAAAACTTATATAAAAATAATACAGATAAAAGAAAACAAATAAATACATGGGCAGGTAAACCCTAAAGATGGACATTGGATAATCTCTGCTGAATCCAAAATTAAAACTGGAGATAACTTGTAAAATGAAAACCATTCACACTTTTACAGCAAAAATTCTGAAATTCCAAATTGAAATTTCAGAATTTTTGGGTAGAGTTAGGTTACCTGAGGTAGGTTTATAAAATAAACCAAAAACACTTGTTGCTTAAATCCTTTTGCCGAAAAAGTGTGAATGTTTTCATTTTACAAACTCTGTTGAAAATATCAGATAAATGAATGCTCTGCCTTTGCTTGCAGAACATTGTGATGAAGTAGTATGCAGCAAATGTACAACAGAGCTAGCTAAAAAAGTGATGTAACTTTGAACTGCTGAACTTTTCCCTTCTAAAATGCTGTGGGGGGTTAAAAAACATTATTCATATGAGAATCCCTTTACATCTCAACAATGTCACTGTGCAACTCTATCATGCTAGATATACTGGTGTTGTGGATAGCACTGTTTAATCTTCTAAAGTTATAAATCATGATTTCCAATAAAACACCTTGTAGATGCATTAGCACTGCTATATGCTTATTGACTGTTTAATTTATTATTATTTATGTACTTTATATTTCAATCCAATTTTATTCTTGATGTTTTTCTTTTATATATCATCATATTTTTGCACTATTATATAATTTTGTAAATTGTATATATGTAATTTTAATTTTCCATGCGTGTATGGGACAAGCAATTTGAAAAAATGATAGATGTTTGGGTTCTTTCTATTAAATTCAAATGTTTTGTTCTCTATGAAAGATTCTGCCTGAAGAGGACGGTTATATATTGTTGAAAGTACTCACAAAATAAATTAATTTTACATAACACTGACAGGCAGTAGTATATGTTACCTTTTCCTATTAATATTTGGCATGTATAACTATTTAAAACTTTATTAACATCAAACAAGGAAATCTGATCAATTCAAACCAATTTTTCTATAATCTTTGGCCAGTGTTGTATTTTTTATAAATTCATATTTAAAATTTTTTTAATATTCTATGGTTCTTATTTTTATTTTAAAATAAGGTTTTTTGAATACAGATAAGTTGTTTAACTTTCAGATGAGATAATCAGGACTGCAATTTGACACATTAGTCTTAACAAGTTCCATTAACTTCCAGAAGTACTCAGCTTTGAAGTGGCAAAGTTTAGCCTTGATCCTGTCCTCCAATTCCTTCACTGATTTAGCTTCTCAACCATTTTCATAAACTTTTTGCTT